TAACATTGGCCTACCGCTTGTACTAATAAAGTGCCAAGGGCCTAAGTGGTCACCTTAATATTAAAAAAAAAAAAAAATTAAATACAACTTTTAGAGCATACATATTACTACAATTTATGATGAATTAAAAAATTCACATCTTTCAATTTGGCTTGGATTCTTAGTAGGATATCCAAAATTCTATTTTCCGCACATAATTGTACAAATTTTTGCGGCTAATCTAGCCAGCACTACCAATACTGTTTGGTAGTCTTATATAGGAATATTGATTTGATTTAAGACTATTATTAAGGAATATTTCAGCCCGCCTCATATTCTGCAGTCCAAAATCATCAGACTAACAAAAATAGGCTGTTTAACTGCAGATTCTGTAAATTTGACAAATTCTGCAAATTGGTGAAAAATTGCAGAATTCTGAACAACCAGAGCACAATTATTAATCAATTCATACCAGAAACAGAATAATATATAATATTACGAAGTATATGGTTACTATGAATGTTTAACAGGTTTTTTCTCAAAGTGCGTGACGATCGATCATTAATAAAAATGCGATTGTTTTTTATCATTATTATTGTCTTTTAGAATTCACTAACCAAATGTAGATTTTGTCATTTTGTTGTTATAGATGCGCAAAGGTCTTGAATCTAATGCTAAGCTGTAATGGCTGAAATCAGTTCACATGACTCTTCATAGAATTAGCCCCAAAAGTGCGGGTCACTTGATAAGAACCACAACTATTGTATAATTTTCTAGAAAATGATTGAATTGTCTAGCTTCTACACGCAGCTTTATTATTGTAAAAATTTCTTAAACTGAATTCTATATGCTACTGGTTATTTATATATAGCTTAACCCGCATATTTGGGGGTCACCCTGGCTAATTTACTCTTAGTACATAATGTCACAACTTGGGGAAAATTCTGATATCTAGCTCTTGAGAATTTTTCAAGACTACAAGTTGATATAAGGGACATATTTGAATTAATATACTAATGAACATACAGTAATCAGTAATCGATTTTTCTTAGTCAATTTCTTATTTGTATTGATTTATTAGATAGCTATAGCAATTATCAATTGAGTATTACTATGCTCAAAAATAAATATTTACCACACTCCCAGCATCATTTCATGGTTGAAATTGCCCAAGCATTGATAGTGTTTGTTACCTCTTGTTGGCTACTTTTTACTTCACGGGAATTTATATTCATGATAAAGATAATAAAGCTTTTACTAATGCATATGGTTTTATTCCGACTGGGGAGCTATTAAGTGGATAACCAAAGGAAGGAGTTCTCGAATTGATTCCTGGACGATTGCTGAATTTTCTTTTTAGCTTAGAAGTGAAAAATTTTGTTCTTTTCTGGTCTATACACTTCTCCAATTTCTCATTCGTCCCAAGAGGCTGCTTTAGTTAAAGCGAGTGCACTGTTTACTCTGCCGGTATCATTCGTTAAGTTATAATTAGTGCTGTTAAGAGTTACTTAGCTAACTAATTATCATCAAAACATTAATTCGTTTTTTATTTAACTTCTAATTCGTATTGATTTAATCTATAACAATTATTTTTTGGTATAAATATTTACTATGAGTTCACATTTCTCTTATTCACATTAGATTAATCTGTATTATTTGACAAGGTCATTTTTTTAATTCACGTTGATTCATTCTGACATTAAAACAATCATTTGATCTAAGCATAATAACTATTTATTAGCCAACAGAAATTAAGCTTTTATTATATTTGGCATCGTAAAATATGCGAATTTGAAAATTCTATTAAGTTTTTAATGAAACCTTTTTTGTGTCTCATCAATATAGTTATGCTGTATTTAATCGTGCACCAGATATCTATTCAAGTATATATCTGAATTCGATACTTGATAACTATTCTGTATTAAAATTACCCGACATATTTAGATTAGACTGTTCCTGGTTTAGTGTGACTGCGTCATGCAGCTACATATTTATTATATTTAACACAATCAAAATTTTATTTTAAGGTTCAAAGGAACTAGCATGAAGTGAATTTGCTAATGCTTTTTTTCTTTAATCCCAGTTTTTATTAAAAAACATAATATGTGTAAAAGCAATCAGATCATTGTGAAATTTAGGGATCTTAATTTAAATATACTAGTAGCCTGCACGTGCTTCGCTACGTGACAGATCTAGCATATTTGTGTAACATGGGCTGGTTATGTAAGTAGCCAATTAAAAACCTGAAAACAGACACATACTGCCATACTAAAATCTACTTATACTCTTTTTTTAATAATTTTGACCTAAACCCTAACTTAACTATTAAGAAAAACCTAACAAAAAAGGCTCAAAAAAGTTTTAAAAATGTATATAAAATAAGTTAAATTTCATTATGATCTGCCACAAATAATAATAATAAAAAAAACAGCTAGAATTCTAAGTCCCTAGTCAGTTGTATTTTTTATCCAATCCTGACCACGTATTAGCATTTCAACTGTTTCTGGACTCAGATTCGATTGATAATCATCAATGATTTTTCCAGCCGTACTAAATATCTAGATATAAAATATGAGTTAGCTTATATTTTAAAAATAATAACCAAAAATAATAACCAAAAATTTAAAAGTCTATTAACTGCTTCAGACGCTACTGAAGTTACTGGAATTGTAAGGATATCCCTTGCCATTAACGAGGCGGAAGGGTATCTTTGTGTATTTGTATTCCACCAGGCCAAAACATCGAATGGCTCTGCATGAGATCAAGGAAAAATCAGATCAGCAAGGTATTGCTCAAAATCATTTAATTCATCATTTAATTCATCATTTAATTCATTTTCAACGTCAAGAGATGTATCAAAGTTTTGCATATCTTTGTCTTGAAGAATATCTGAAAAATTCTCTAATATTGCATTATTCGAAAAAACCACATGTTGCTTATATGTTGAGTTATAGATCGTCATTATTCTAAAATAATAGATAAAAGATAAAATTAATGCTAAGCGAAATGGTTCAAAATATATAGCAAAAATAGTTTTTTCATATACATTGGTTATAGTATGATTTCCTGAAAGTTATTTCTCCTACTCAACATCACACAGGGTGACAATCTGCCAAATATATATATATCTACAACTAATTGAATGCTAACTCTAACCTATATGATATCAAGTAAGTGGATCTAACTTTTTGGTGAATTGAGTGACGACTTTTGCATTAGGTGTGCATGAATGCACATGATCTATTGCTTTTCCTTTACAATAAACCAATTAATACCCCGATTACTATATCAAGATCTCGGGGATATTATTATTATATATATACCAAAATATGTAATTTATAAATTTTTGTGCTCAGTAATTTATATTAAATCCAGGTTTTTAAAGTGCGCTGCGATAAATTTCAAAACATTATTTGAATCTATTCTCTGCTTAATCCCTATTTACTATATGTTTCACATATTATATTTCAATTTGTAATTTAAAAAACAATGCATAAAAAGTTCAAGTTCAAAGAAAGCTACATGGAAGTTTACATTATGTGAATAATAGAAGAAATTGAGTATAAGCAAAAAATTTTGCTTATATTCAATTACCCAAGATATAACTATTACAATTACCTCAATTTAATAGATGCCAATTTTTTTTCTGCTTCGGCGCATAACAAGTTCATATTTTGCTTATATATATGGGTCAGCAGTGCCATCTTATAATGGGGATCTAATATCGACGCAATACAATGCAAATCTCCTGCATTTTCCTAGTATTTATTGAATTTTGATTGCATTGGCTTAGCTATTTGATAAAGAAAAGAGTCTGAGTTAGCATTATTTCGTTCAAGGTGCATTTTAATCTTTACTAACTAAGAAAGAAAAATATATGCTGTGAAGTAAGTAGTACCTGAGATAATATTGGTAACTATTTTGAAGTAAAGAGTTAGAATGCACTTATAATAAAGTATATAGACAGAAGTTAATAATTAATATTACTTTTATAAAATGGTTTTAAAAAACGACAAAGACACTCCGCCTTTTCCTAATCTTCGTTTAGAGATGCAATCGATTCAAAGCTAGTGTCACAGAATGCAAGACGTTCAAATACATCTCTATATGGAATGGTAGACTCCAACATTAAATACGTTGAGTTCCAGCGGGTAGCTACATCAAGTACTGGCTGCTAACTTGAAACTAATTTATCGCAACATCCAACAATAGAATCCTCGAAGTTTTGCTTTCGACGCTGTGAACTATGAATCCACTTCACATATTCTCTGATCTATATCAATGAGTAAAACAGTTAATTTTCTTTAAACTGAACCAAACATAATATGATCAGAATATTTAGACAAATTTGTAAATATATTTTTTTTATAGACTAGTGCGTGTGTGATTAGAATGAATTGACTATATTATGCTAAAATTCTATTAAAAATATGATCAGATCTCCTTAAATGCAATTTCAATGCAAGATCATTTTAAATATAATTATAATTCTGATCTATATATACTTTTGCCTCCTATAAATGCAGTTTTCTTATAGTTCTATAACACTGATAAAAATTAAAACCTCAATATGTTAAATGGAATAATTAGAATGCCACTCAAACTATTATTTAAGCTGCTGTTAAACACTATCATATGATTTAGCAGACATGCATATCTGTGAAGTCTTTTAAGTGGTATTCGGATTGTACCATTCAACATAAAATTTTTAAATTAGAGGTATATTAGTATGAAAGTAATTAAATAATAATAATAATATATATATATATACTTGTCTTTGATTTCAGAAGGTTCGAAGTGAATGAACTGTCTTGTGCATGTGATGCATGTGACTATCGTGTGATTGGGATTGAAAATATGGGACCAAAGGCAAAATCATACAATAGTTGGTATCACAAGATACCAAAGTAAGAGAATAAGTATGCATGAAAAGTCATGTAAAAGTATTTATATAATCAATTTGAGAGTAAAAAATTGTGATAAGTTTATGATATAATAATAAGTAGTCAAAATATGAATATATAAGCAAGGCGAAAAATAATAAAAATATTTAATGTCTTTTCTCTTAATAAATCAAGTGAATGAATAACGCATACACTTATCTTTAACTATACGCATGCAGTTTCTTACTAGTATAACTATTCGAACAAGGTCTACTTAGTGACCCCAGTCATTAATATAACCATGATAATACTCATTGTCAAAAGTTTAGATTCTATAAAGTTGCATTTAGGGAGCCTGACTATATCAAACATTCATTTTACTTACTATATTCACAGTATCCTTTATCATTTTAAGTTCATCAGTAACTATAAGGTTTAATATATGTGCGCAACAATGCTGATGCAACAAATTTCTTCTTGCAATGAGCATGTTTTGTTCTCTTAACCTATGCTTTATATTAGTTATTGCCACGTTGTTATTTGTTGCATTATCTATTGTAATTGCCAATGTCTAAAATGATAATGTTTAATATATATGCAAATAAAAAATGTTAATTTATTAAAGATTATAGCATGTTAAATGCCGCGGTGCAAAACACAATCTATTAACTAAATTGTAAATTTTATAATAAGTCTTTCACAAATTTGTTATGTAATTTCATTAGACACAAGTTAGTGCACCATCTATTATTTCACACTAATATTCATTTGGAATTCACTTTTAAATTTACTTCTATAAGCATTGTTATAAAATCGGGTTAAAACCCTATAGTACCTACCCTAGAAGTAACATTCCAATCGTCAAAACATTTAAGAAATGTACTGCTGATAGCAGTTCTAGTGTGTGGTGCAGGAACTAATTCAAATGACAAAATTAATTTTCAGATATTCCATTTTTCATCGATAAAATGACCTAGTAGAAATAAAATGATTAAATACTACAAAGAAGAATAAGCATAGGCTGTTTCTAGTTAATTAGTTGGTAATATCAATATTTTGAACTCAAGCATGAGGGGAGGAGGGAGAAATTTAAACAAACACATATACCCCAGAATATTTGATTAAATATCATTGGTCGACCTTAATTAAATGATTACAGTCGCACTCTTATATAATCACACCATCGTGACCTATAAAAAGTGTTCTTATATATTTCTTATATAAAAAATATGCTTATGTAGAAAGTAATTTTTATATGTTTAATAGTAGTTAATTAAAAAAGTAATGTGCTTATAAAGCTGATGTGCTTATATAGGAGGTGCTTATATAGGAGTGTGACTGTAATTGATATTTATATCATGTTGCGATTGGCTTGTTTAATTTCAGGGAGAAAGCAGCTACCTGAGGGGTGACGTTAACCA